TTAAATAATACATATCTAAAGGCCAATAATCAACACAAGAAAGAGCTCAACCTGCACAGCAGCCTAGTAGTTATTAAAATAGCAAATTTTGGAATGAATAATAAATTTTGATATTTTATCTTTTAACTCTTGTTATTATCTAACACGATTGTATTTGAAGTAACTTTGTAGGGATGAGTCCAAATGTCATACCGTCATTCACCATCAAAAAAAATAAATAGAAACATTAGAAAGAGCCGTAATGGAAAAGGTGATAAACATCTAAACAAAAGGTCACTATATATGACAAAAAATATAATTAATTTTTGTGACAAAACTGGACCACTGACAAAAAAATTGACCACTGCACATATAAGTCACCTATTAAACTAGTCTAACTGATAAACTATTAACCTATTTTGATCATATTGTGATCTTCCCTTAATTCACTTGACTTTCGCAACAAATTATAATTATAGAAAAAATGCCTACCATAAAAAAGATTACATGTAATCCACAATACTTCTAGAGACATAATTTTATTAAATTTTTTTCACACATCTATATATCCGCACACAAATATACATTTGAAATTTGGAAAAATTAGAATGAGCGAAAACTAAAGAATCAAATGCATCACTAACATCATTAATACTGTATTTGGTTGAGAGATTTGAAAATAGATTTGAAAAAAGAAATGAAAAATGTAGGTGAAATGTGAATAAAATATACTTATATTTCACTTATTTCACACACTTTTTTTTTTTTTTTTTAAATTTCTCTCCAAATCTCCCGATTAAACGCAGGACAAGGAGAGATAAAGCGGAAAACCCTTTCTATGTGGTTTTATATGTGGTCCCATTGAGACATTATCTAACATAATCCACAATACTTCTAGAGACATAATTTTATTAAATTTTTTTCACACATCTATATATCCACGCACAAATATACATTTGAAATTTGGAAAAATTAGAATGAACGAAAACTAAAGAATCAAATGCATCACTAAGATCATTAACACTGTGTTTAGTTGAGAGATTTAAAAATAGATTTAAAAAAAAATAAAAAAATATAAATAAAATATGAATAAAATATATTTATATTTCACTTATTTCACACACTTTTTTTTTTTTTTAATTTCTCTCCAAATCTCCCGATTAAACGCAGCACAGGGAAAGATAAAGTGGAAAACCCTTTCTATGTGGTTTTTGGTTCCAAAATCTGACTCTTTAGGTAGCACAAAAAGTGATGTAATTGAGCCATGAGAAAGTGAACAGGTGTTTGACTTCCTAAGCTATATTGGGTCCAGTGAGACTTGTTTTTTTTAACTCACAATACACCCTATCCTAAGCTTCTCTTTCTATTCTTTCCTCCAAGCTCTCTCCCTCTCTCTCTCTCCAAAATTTTGACTTTCTCTTCTTTTTTCTGTCTTAAGTAGAGAAATCCATGGAATGAGATAAGAAAAGGAATAGAACTGACGCAGAATGTGATCAGAGAAAAACAAAAATATAGTGAGACAAAGAAGACACCCCCTTTGAGTTCGCATCCCTATATAAAATAATTTCTAATGAATTGCATATGTATTCTTCTGCTTGATATATATATTGAGGCCTATTAGTTAGGTGAATTAAATGGGGCATTGGAACCTGGGAAGTCAAGCAGAATAGCATTGCATTTGATGAGAAATCATAAAGAGTCACCTCTAGTTTCTCAAATTTTTATTTAAAAAATGAGTACAGCTATTCAAATAGATGTTTTATACAAAATTATCACATATAAAATTATGTGACTTATTGTGATTTATTCATTCATTTAATAACATAAATACGGACAGAATCATGATTTCATCATTGGAAGGGTCGAAGATAAATAATTTTTTTTACTATATATACAAACGCATATGTACGTATAATATGATATATAAATTATATATACACAAAAAAAAAAAATTCAAATACTATAGTAGTAATCTCTAGTACAACAAATAAATTTTTTGGGTAGAAAATAAAAAGAGAATGGAAGATGATAAAAGAATGTGATAAATATCTTTTACACTGAGTGACTATTTTATTTATAAAATAATATATATATTTTAAAAGTGTTAATTTCAAATAGAATTTTTCATAGAAACAAAGGGTCATGCCCTCCATAGTTTTCTCTTAGGCTACGTTTGTTTGGCGGGTTAGGTTGGATGAGATTATTAGCAAAGAGATTGTTAATGTAAGGATTATTAGTGAGGAGATTAAGTAAAATTGTGTTTGTTTTGATAATAGTGTGAGAGATAGTTAGTGATAGGATTGTTAAATTATTTTTATATAAAATAAATAAATAAATTATTTCTGTATGAAAAAAAACTAAAACAAATATTAAAACAAACAGGTGCACTTGGTCAATAAAAATAAAAATATAAATATAAAATTTTTATATAAAATAGACTCAATTCCCTCACTATTTCCCTAATCTCAAGCAAAATTCACTCAAGCTAATCCCCATACTGAGAGGTATTAGCAAGCCACTTGGAGTAACAATCCCCCTCCACAAAAGTGCTACCAAATAAGGGTTAGTGAGACCCACATCCTTACTACTCCAATTCCATCTCCTAATCTCCCAAACCAACATCACCTTAGTTCCATCTTTGAACGCAAGGCTTGTTATTATCAATAAAATTTATTAGTATGTCACTGTCACGTCATTTTAAAAACATATTTTCTATACAAATTTTGATAAAATAACATTTCTCTTTAAAAATACACACACACATATTTATCAAAAATGTCTAAAATCTCTTTTTTTTTCCCACTTTCTTTGACACCCCCTCTCTCTCTCTCATTGGTTGAATTTTTTTTTTTTCCCTTGTCCTCCAATCACCACCCGCCATGTGTGTGTGGGAGGTGGTGGGGGTGGTGATTGGAAGGGGTCTCCATCACTCCTCTATATATATATATAAGTTACCCAATGCACACAATCTTACCCTAACTTTTAAAAAGGGTGATTATTTAGTACTCCCGGAGTATGGACACGTAGTGCTCCATAAGGTTTTGATTGGTGGAGAGACACAAGGGCCACGATTTATGTTGAAAATGGGAGAATAACATGGGACTAACTAATTGGTGATTAGTTTAAAATATAGACACGTAGTGTTCCGGGAGTATTGAATAATTTCTCCTTTTGAAAAAACTATTCCAGTGGCTTGAGCTTGCATTGTTAAAGATGCTAACAATAAAATATTAACATTAGAATCTAAACAAAATTCCAGAAATTAAAAATTATATATTAGTGCTTGTGCACACAGAATATGTGCGCTATAAAATCAATAATCGAAACAGTTGGAGAATTTTCCCAAAAAAAAAAAAAATTGAAGAAATTTTGTATGATTTTCTTATGTAACTGCTCGTGTGAACATTTTTGAAAATCAAAACAAGAGTTACAATGCATTACTAACTTAATTGTACTCCTTATCTAATATTATTGATAAATTATAAATATATCATTTAAGATTTATTTAAAATACAAAATATCTCTTGTGATTATGAAAATTATAATATTCTTTTTTTAGAATTTGTTGTTAAGAGTTGATAGAAAAAAATAAAATCTTTAACTATTATCTTACACAACAATGAAATTATTATAATTATTAATTGAATATAATATTGATATCATTAAAAATTATTAATTGACTTAATGATTAATTAAGAAAAATAAGTTATTTGTTATGTAATTAAAATTTTTAAAGAATGTGATATAATTTTCAAAATTATATTTAAAATAAATCTCAAAAAATTATTTATAATTTACATATAAATGAAAAATTCTATTGTTATAAAATATATATATATTATTTGCAGCATTATTATTACCATGAATGAAAATTGGTATCAATTTCCGATCTAACTCGATCTAATCCCATCAATGCCTGATTTCTTGGCATAATTTATTACTCTCATTTTAAAATGAGTAATACTAGATACTTTAAATAAATTATTAAATTTTTTATATGGGTATAAGATCTATACATATAATTTATGTAAATCTTACATTTATATAAAAAATTTGATAAAAAATTTAAGCTTCGTTTGGAAAGTTGGTTTATGGGTTTTTTTTTGTGGCTATTTTGGATGGTTTGGGATGTCCTAAATAAATGTACTTTTTGACTTTTTATAAAAAAATGTAAGAAAAGTAGAGAGGAGATGTTAAATAGTCACAAAAAATAAAATAGACTATTTTAATCACAACAAACAAAACATCACATTCAACCCATAATCATTATACTTTTCTCTAAAAAAAAAAATTTAAAAAATCCAAAAAAAGCCTTTTTTAACCAAATTTTTTAACACATACCAAAATAACTAAAATAATCAAAAAGTCAAAAAAAACCAAGCTTTTGGCTTTTTGGCTTTTAACCAAGCTTTTGAAAAGATGGTAAAAAGTGACTTTTTGGCTTTTAACCAAACTTTTGGCTTTTTTAGACAAATGATTTGAGAAGTTGGTAAAAAGTGACTTTTGACTTTTTTGATTAATATTTGTTTATGATGTCAAATCATAATAAAATGACTAAACTACCCCCACTTATTTAAAATATTTACAACTTCACCTATGTAACACATTTTGACCCATGAGCGGCAAAATTGTAATTTCACCGTTGACTAAAAACCAACTTTCCAAATGGAAAAAAAAGCCAAAAAAATTAACTTTTAACTTTTACTACTAATAAAAAAAAATGACTAAGGCCAAGTTTGGGAAGACTAAATAAGTGCACTTTTTGACTTTTTATGAAATATGAATTGGATTTGGGTTGGGTTTGAAGTGATGTGTTAGAGAGGTGATGTGACTTAAATAAGATGATATGATTTAAATAGAATAGTAACTTTTTGACTTTTTAAATTTTTTTGAAGGATGCCAAACTTGACCTTACGACCATAGCATTTTCCTTTTTAAAATCTTCTGGGCATCACATTTATTTCCAATTTGTACCTTCCTCCTCACTTAAATTTTGACTTGCAGGTTTTTTATCAGTGAAATTTACTACTATCTCCCCATAAAGTCTCCATCGCAAAACAAGGCTTATATCTCTCACACCCACATGCTAACAATCTTCAAAAAACCTTCTTTGCATTTAGATTTTCTTTCTGGTGACAGATGTGATTCTTGATACCAAATGGTTCAACTTCTATACAGCTCCAATCTTGGTGGCTTTTCTCTCCACTTTCCCTAGAAAATACGTTTTAGATTTTCTTTCTGGTGACAGATGGGATTCTTGATACCAAATGGTTCAACTTCGATCCTAAAACTCCAATCTTGGTGACTTTTCTCTCACTTTCCCAAGAAAATATGGACTGGGTTTCCTCTGAAATCAAAGTTCAGACCTTGCTCTCCCCATCACAACAACCATATTTTCTCTCTCCACCTCCTCCCTCACCACCATCCTCCTCCAATCTTCATTCCAGTGATTTCAGCTTGAACAAGGTAAGCCCAAGTGTACTTCTCATCATCATAATCCTTGCAATCATTTTCTTCATTTCTAGTTTGCTTCACCTCCTTGTTAGATTCCTATTGAGACCTTCAAACAGAGAGCCTTATGATGATTTGGACAATGTCACTGCCCTTCAAGGTCAGTTACAACAGCTTTTCCATCTCCATGACTCTGGTGTTGATCAGACCTTCATAGACACCTTGCCTATTTTCAACTACAAAGCCATTATAGGTGTGAAAAAGAATCCTTTTGATTGTGCTGTTTGTTTGTGTGAGTTTGAGCCTGAAGACAAGCTCAGATTGTTGCCAAAATGTAGCCATGCTTTCCACATGGAGTGTATAGATACATGGCTCTTGTCTCATTCCACTTGCCCTCTCTGCAGAGCTAGTCTTCTTCCTGATTTCTCAACGCACACCAACTGTTCGCCTATAGTCCTTGTTCTTGAATCTGGCAGTGACAGTTCAAGAGAGATTGTCTCAGAGAGAGATGGTGTCTTGGGCACCACTAATTCATTGGCTAGAGCAAATTCCCAACTGGGTTTTCATTTTAGGGATGAATTAGGCTCAGCTCGGATCGAAATTTCGCGTGAAAGTCAGGCGAAAGATGAAGCGAATCAAGAACAGAAAGTGGGTTCAGAGGAGAAAGTTGTGACTGTCAAGCTTGGGAAGTTTAGGAATGTGGATGGTGGAGGTGGAGGAGAAGGTAGTACTGACAACAATGTTGATGCAAGAAGGTGTTTCTCAATGGGGTCTTTTGCATATGTAATGGATGAGAGTTCATCATTGCAAGTACCCATTAGGACACCAATGAAGAAACAATCAAGTAAGAAGCCTTCTCTGCCATTGAAACCTGGTCATAGGCCAGTGATGTCTGAATGTGATTGTGATTCAAGAAGAGAGTTCAATGGTTTTGAACCATTTAGCAGTGTTGATAACCATGAAATTGAAAATATTAGTAATGGGAATGGGAATGGGAATGCTATTGGGAGGAGCAAGAGAGAGAGCTTCTCAATATCAAAGATTTGGCTAAGGGGAAAGAAGGAGAAGAGTAATACATCTTCTTCCATGGAGTCGTCGAGACGGGCTTTTTCATTCCGGTTTCCGGTGCGCCGAAATGGTGTTGATGGGGGTGAATTGAAGCCCAAGAATGGTGGGACTAGGAGGACTATCTCTGAGATTGATATTGGGAGGTGGGAAAATGGACTAGAGAAAATGGAGGTGGGAAAATGGAGGTGGGAAAGTGGAGGAGGGAGTGAATTGGGGTGTGATGAAGAAAATCAGAGCTGTAACAGTTTGGATTCAACAGCAAATCCACCATCTTTTGCAAGGAGGACTCTGCTTTGGCTTGTGGGAAGACAAAACAAGGTGGTTCACTCATCTTTCTCGTCCAATGTTTAACTTGTTTGTTTTCTTCCATTTTCTTTTTTGTTTTAGGTTCTAGATACTTTTTCTCTTTGATTCCTTTCTTCGGGAAGGCAAAATTGGGAGTTGGCGATAGAAAGATGAAGGAAAAGAAAGAAAAAGAAAGAAAGATTGGAACTATGAATTGATCTCAACACAAAATGTTATGCAGTGCACTATTCCAGCAATATTGTTTGTGGTAGAATTTTTTTTAAAGATTATTTATTATTTATTAATTTATTTTTTAATAGTTAGATTGGTTATTTTCTTCAAATGCATGCACACACACACATATATATATATATATATATTTGCTTTTCCTTGTCAATACTGTTGTTGACTATTTCTTTTTTCCCTTAGTTTGCTGGACATAGCTTTGTTAAATTTTTATTTAAAATAAATGTTGTAACTTTTTAAAAAAAAATGTCAAGTAGTTTAATTTTTGTTACCACCTTTTTAATTTAAATTTTTTTTTTTAATATTAAGTCTCTAGACTAAATTTTCATTCAAATAATTCTCTAACTTCTCAAATTGATTCAGTTTTACCCTTATGTGACATTCTATCCTCTTTTGGCAATTAAGTTGATCAAATAGGACTAATTTAAAGGATAAATCGATAAATTTAATTCTAAAACCTTTTTCCTACTACAAAAAAAATCCATTGATAACATGAGAAATGGTGAAAGATAGTGTTAGTTCTATGATTTTTTTGGGGGGTCATTTTAATATTAAAAAAATAAATTTATGCTGAGTTTTCTCAGTTTATCCTTTAGTTACGGCCTATATAATGTATTTAACAGCTAACTCAAGGGTTATATTGAATTAATTTAGAAAGTTAGAGGGTTTAATTAAAAAACAAAAAAAATTAACTCAAGGACTTATCAAAAAAAAAAAAAGTAGCCCTTATTTTAACATAATTTAGGCCAAGTTTGGGAAGACTAAATAAGTGCATTTTTTGTCTTTTTAGACTAAAAAGTTGAGGTTGAAAATATGAATGTTTGGGTTAACTTTTTGACTTTTTATGGAAAAATGTGTAATAAAAAATTGTAAAAATTGATTTGTAGGAGAAAATTAGAATTGGGAGTTGTGCAGCCGTAATTGTTGACTTTTGGTGAATAGTGATAACTTTTTAACTTTTTGAGTAACTTTTTGAGTTTTTGGCTTTTTGGGGTGTTCCCAAACTTGGCCTTAGTATATATACGTCATTTCACTTATATGAAAATATTTTTAAAATTTCCAAACATAATCTAGAGTTATAAATGGAAAATGGATAATACATTTACATTGTAAAATCAAAAAACTATGTATTACAACATTAATAAATATTTCATATATTAGACACTAATCTTATTGATAAATAAATAAATAAAAATAAAAATAAAAACATTTGCACATCGAGTAGAGTAATTTTATAATCTTTTTTTCTTAATTATAGATTTTTCGTAAAATGTAAAATGTATTTATTAATAAATATTCAATATTTCATACATTAATCTTTAGACATCAAGTATAGTAAATTTTTAAAATTTTCTTCCAAAACTATATCTATCTATCTAGTTATATTTGTATAATATATTAAACAACAAAGACTTCTTGCGAAGAGTTTTTTTGAAAACTACAACACTTTTAATTAAATTTGTGAATTTTTTAATTTCAAAAAAATAAAAAATAGCCCTTATTTTAACATAATTTACTCTTTTAAATAATAGTTTGGCAAGCATGTTCACCATGACATACTTATTTTCCCTAGCAGTTCATAGTTTTCTAGTAATAAAAAATTACCACTTGTCCAGAGTGAAAGAGACCATTGGTATCTTGAATAGAGTAATATTTGAGAACTATTTGTGTGGTGGACTCTGAAAAAAATATTTGCCCTTTGATGGCAATTGAGGAACCACAAAGCTATACTTCAATTTGAGATTTTGAATATGTTAAAGAAAAGAGAATTAAAAGGAAAAGTGAAATGAAGTAGAAATTTATTTTTTTATTTTTATTTTATCTTTATAAATTTTAGATGTAAATACAATTTATAAAAATTGTATCTAATGCACAAGAGTATCACTTGACATAGGTCACAGCTAGATATCATTATCCTACTTTTTAATAGAGATGTTGGTTCTCATGACTTGGCGTGAGAGTTACTACGCATGTCATCACCTTTAATTAGAGATATAATTTGGGCGGATCTAACTCAAACAACTCCAATTCAACTTGAAAATTTTTGGGGTTGCTATGGCAAAAATTTTTAGTATTGGGGTTGCTTCAGCTAAAAATTGTCGATTCAAATTAAATTTGAATAACATGTGTCGGAGTTTTCACAATCCAAGCAACTTGAATAATTGGAATTCCATTGTTAATATATATAAGTTATATAATAAACATGAAATATTATAAGTTATAGATTATTTTGTCACCGTTTGGATTAAATCATATTATAATGTAATATTTAACTGTTTGGTATACATAAGTCATCAAATTAAATTTTCTATTATGGTTCATGTTAGTATTTAAAAAAAAAAAAAAAAGTAAAATACATTGTTTTAGGATAAATTAATTAGATTAGAAGAAGCTGTTATGAAAATCAAAGATAATTTTTTTTTTTGTGTTTAAATTTGGGCTACCTGAGCCAAATCCTAATTTTTTGAGTTAAACTCAACCTTGGGTTTGGACAGATTCCTTTACATTTTGAGCGGAGCCTAAACATATGTTTAGCCCGCTTGATTTGTAACCCTATATCTAATTATGGATTTTGCACTAATCATTTAAACAAGTAGTTTAAATATAGATTCGATAGCTTTAATATCGATTTCAAGGTTGAAATTGACATCTTTACTTTAACAATTTGAAATAACAATGCAGAAAACTAAAAGATTTTTAATAATGCACATTTTGTATCTTCTTATGTTATATTACCTAAGAGAAATATTTAAAAAAAAAATATCCCATCTTATTCTTTAGCTTCTCAATTCCTTATACTAGCCAACACTCTTATATTTATTGGTTCTCAATTCCTTTACATTAGCCAACACTCTTATATTTTTAGGTTCTCAATTTCTTTCATTTGAAATCTATTTATCCCAAAAATAAATAAAATAGTTATTTTGTACAGCTACTCATCACGATACCCTTTCCCTTCCAAAATTGAATTTTATAAAAGATTCAGATCCAGCTAGTATAGGAGGATCTAAAAGTAAAAAATATAAAAAATAAAAAATACCCATTTTGTCTTTTGTCGATTTTTATTTTACTTCTCAAATCAGTTTAGTTTAGTAAAATACTAGTGTAAACCTTTTAAATTTTTTTTAAAAAAAAAAAAAATTTATTTTGGTTGGAGAATTTGAGAAGATATTTGAAAAAGAAAAAAAAAAAAAGTATGCAAAACTAAATGAAATATAGGTATATTTTATTCACATTTTACTTATCTTTTTTCTTTTCCATTTCAAATTCCTTTCTAATTCCTCTAACCAAACACAACTTAAAGATAAAAAAATAAAAAAATAAGAAATAAAAAGCTATAAAAGCAATTAAAAAGCGACCTAAGTTGAATGAGCTGAATCCATTTAATTTCACTTTGTTGGTGACTTAAATGGTTGAAAAGGGGTGGTGGTTAGTTGTCACTATTGGTAGGTAATAAATGGAATTCAAGTTCAAGAAGGCACTGGCAAATCAGTCCCAAGTAGGCCCTCTTAGCATGGTTTAGGAAGTTTTGTCATTCATAATTTTTAAAAATTTTAATCTTTATATGCTATACAATGAATTGAGTTGTTAGCATTAGGAGGTGAAAGGGGTGATTAGTGAGTAGCTTGAATGTCAAAGTTCACTGTTTATGTAGGAGAAAATAAGAAAATTTAGAAGAAAATTTTGTTGTAAAGAATATTAACAAATCAATTTCTGTCATCACGAGTCATCACTAAATCATCAAAAAAAGTCAACAAAAGATCTTTAATAATAAAATTTTGAAAATGTCATTAATAAATATACTGTTAAGAACAAACCAATTTCCTACAAAAAAAAAATGTTAAGTTTTTGAGATGAAAATTTTAGTCCCAAAAGGATAATAATTCATCATTAAATATCATATTTAGTTACTAAAAATACGATGGCACTTCCACTCAAACCTTCAAAATTTGACATGCCTATTTTTTTTTTTTTGAAGGCTTAGGAGACAAATTGAAATATATGAATTTGACATGGAAGCTCTTCACCTGATATGTCAAATACATTATTCTATTATTTTTAAAATTTGAGCTCTTTTATTTCATATAGAAACTCTTTTATTTAAAAAAAAGGCATTCTCATATGTCAAATCTATTATTTTATTATTTTTTAAATTTGAGCTCTTTTATTTCATATGGAAGCTCTTTTATTTCAAAAAAAGGCATGAAGTAAGAACATATCAAAATTGAAATAAAAGAGCTCAAATTTAAAAAATAATAGAATAATTATTTTTTTATTTCATATGGAAGCTCTTTTATTTCAAAAAAAGGCATGAAGTAGGAACATATCAAAATTGACATGAAGGGATGATGTCAAATGCCACATTAGCTTTTGGCACGTCAAGTGGAGTTCATACTTGATACCAAAATATGGCTGTTAGAATATCACATCATATTTGAAATATCAAGTGGAGGTATTCTAAGATATGTCTAAAATGTAATTTTATCAACTTTTATCATTAAAATTTGAATTTGTTGTATTGGTGCTTCAGTTTATATATATATATATATATTAAAAACACTTTGAGATTGATAAAACTAAAAAAGCAAATGCAACAAATTTCTCCTAGACTCACTTCCCTTGATACAACAATTCAATAGCTTGTCATTCCTCAAATCAATTTTGCACAGGAAGTAAATACCAATGCCCCATCAGAGAGAGAACACATGAGAAACAAGACATAAATACAAACAATAAAATTTAGAGTTAATTGGCGAAAAGTTCATTCTTATGGGGCATATGTTATTTAGTTAAGGTTTAATTTTTTTTTTTGGAGATAGAGGCACACGTTAAAAAATCGCCGGTGCTAGAAAAGTCACTAAAAGGTCAGCGTTGGTCTACGGCAGTAGTTAGTGACGTTAAAGTGGACATATTGGTGACATTGAATAGATAGGTGATATGTGTATATATTTTAGTAGATAGTTGGACCTTTGAACATAGTGGTGACTCCAAGAATGTTTTTTAGGATGTT